AGAATAGAATAGAATAGAATAGAATAGAATAGAATAGAATAGAATAGCTTTATTGGCCAAGTGTGATTGGACACACAAGGAATTTGTCTTGGTGTAAATACTTTCGGTATACATAAAAGAAAAAATACATTCATCAAGAATCAAGAATCATAACGTACAACCCTTAATAATAGTCATAGGGTACAATCAGCAATCAAATCATACTAGAAAACAGTCAATATAAATCGTAAGGATATAAGCGACAACGTTACAGTCCTACAATCACAAGTGGGAGGGGATGGGTGATAAGGAGGGATGAATTAAACATCTTAAAGGGACACAGCCTGGACCCCATGCTTGAACCGAGAAGCTGTTCAACTTACCTTTGTTTGCTTCTTCTCTGGTGGAGTTTCGGAAAAGGAAGCTTTCGGGGCGCTGGGGAGTTGCTCTGTACGAAGGGGTGGCAGCTGGGCCAGGATACGGGGCCGACAGGTGGACTAAATGGGGACATGGAAGGATGAGGTGGGGTTGGGGGCGGTGGAGGAGGAGAAAAGCAAAATCATTACTATGACAATTTAAATAACTAGAACCAAACTATAAGCGGTCCTAGAGTTACAACTGTTTGTTACCGACTCTTCGAAGTTATAAGGGCACTGACTTACAACTGGTCCTCACATTTACGACCGTTGCAGCACCTCCAGTGGTTCACATGATCAAAATCTGGACACTTGGCAACTAGCATGTTGGTTGCTGTATCCTGGGTGATGTGATCACCATTTGCAAGCTTCCCAAGACGCATGAAAGCTGGTTAGTACCTTTGCAGCAATCAGGTTCAAAGGCGCTAACTGGGAGACAGGGAATGCTAGTTCCACTTTAGGAATGAAAGCCAGCTGGGTGTCTTTGGGTCAACTGCCAGGAGACTGAGTTCTAATCCCACCACCTTAACCATGAAAGCCAGCTGCGTGACTTTGGGCTCTCTCAGCCTAGCCCACCTCCAGGGTTGTTGTTGTGGGGAAAATACGAGGAGGAATTCGTTATGTTCCCTGCCTTGAGTTCGTCATAAAGATATCAAAGTGGGAAAAATAAAATAAAAATGTAAAAAATGTAAAATAAAATAAAACCAATAAAATAAAATAGCTAAAATAAAATAAAAAACTACAAGCAAAAAATGAAATAACTAAAATAAAATAAAAATATAAAAAATGAAAAATAAAATAAAACCAATAAAATAAAATAGCTAAAATAAAATAAAAAATAAAAAACTACAAGCAAAAAGTAATGAAATAATCAAAATAAAATAAAAATAAAATAAATAAAACATTAAAATATAAATAAAATATCTAAAATTAATACAATAATAAGTAAAATAAATACAATAAAAAGTAAAATGAAATGAGATGAAATATCAGAGAGGCATGGGGGGAGGGGCAGAGACGTTGGGATGGGGGCTGGGGACCAGTTTCATTTCATGGGACAGCCAGTCAGAGTTATGTCATGATAGATATTTCAAACAACCATCCCTGAAGGCTGTGGGAGATAAGCCATAAACTTATCTTGCTGCTTTTTGCCAGCCAAGAAACAAGTGTCCACAGGCAGAATAGTGGTACACCCTGCCTGCCATTTAGACATTGGCTTGTCCCATATTAATTAATGTCAGGGTTCCAGAAAGCCCCAACTCCAATTAAAAACTCTGAGACAGGCATTTTCTCAAAGTTTCCTTTTATTAGAGTAGTTTATACTGGCACATCTGGGGAATCCCGAATCTGAAAGTTCTGGGTTTCCCTCCAATAAGTAAAAAAAATTACAAATCATTCCATCACATGCCCCAATCATCATCAGTCCCAACGAGACCTCCCCTCACCCAGATGCAGAAATAACATGACCTTGAATTAGAAAAAGAATGTTGTTATAGCTAATTCCATACACTCCAAGAAATTCCCCCCTCCCATCTTCTCAGGCTTAAGAATGTGGCAGCGTGGACTTCCGGTTTGAGCTTCTTCGGCAATAGACCGAAACTGCGTCTCTGCGCGGTTTCAATCCGTGCTCGCCGCTGGAGCGCTCCGAGCCGGCTGGTTTTGGGGCTAAGCCACCCCGTAGAGGTGGTGAAGAAGGGGAAGACTGCCTGCAGGGTTGAGGAGAGCCACATCTCTCCTCTCCAGCTGGCCATTACTCCCTTTCCCGAAGGCGGTTGCAGCGGTGGTCAGAAATGGCCAAACACAAAGAAGAACTCGACCGGAAAAGAATGTGCAGGAGGAAGATAAGAAGAGAAAATTTTGGTTGACCAGGTCAAACAGCAAAAGCAACAAATAAGGTACCCTGGAATTGAAACTATTAAAAAAAAACAATCGCATTGTTCCCTAAGAAGATTTTTAAGCTGCGAAAGAGAGAGAAAAGGGAAAGGATTTGGTTTTTTTTCTCCTCTTCCTATACTGACAGCTAATAGACTAAAGCAAGAAATTGGAAAAAAATCCACTTTGACATCAATAGGCATTTAATGCTGAAAATAAAAAGCCAAAGGGATAATAAAGATTTCTGGATAATTAAAAGCTTTTGAAAACAGGAAAGGAGAGAAAAAGAACAAAAGGGCAGGATCTGGAAGGGAGGAGACTGCCTGGAAGTAAAAAGAACATACAGCAAAATCTCAACAAGACTTCCAAAAGATACATCTTAACTGAAACATCGCAACAAAATAGTAAAATCCCAGGAAGAGAAAGTGAAAAAAGAAATAAGAAGAAACAGCTTGGGACTATTCGGATTACTTGGTGATCTCTGAATTCTTGGTTATTGTATTTGAATGACTAAAATCAATCGGATGGTTGTTTAAAACTGTTTAAAATGGCTCCACTTTTAGAAGAACTGAAAATGGAATTTAAAAAGTATAAAGAAGATGCACAAGAAAGGAGAGGTTCTTTTGGCTTCGTATTTCAGTTTTTAGAAATGGAGATTTTGAACTATGAGAAACAACAAGAAATGCCTGCAGAACAAGAAGATTGCGACAAAGAAGCAGCCATCTTTAATGAACAAGTAATCTTAGGTGGGGGGAAAAAAAGGAAAGGGGGGAAAGAGAATGGAAAGTTTAAGATTGGGAAAAACAACCCCAAAAAAGGATAGACTGAAAAATAAGTATAAAATTAGAAAGCAACAGAAGAGGGAAATGCAGAAGAGAGAATTAGAAGTAGAGAGACAAGGGGGTAAAAAGGGGAGGGAGAAGATGAGAGGGAAGAAAGAAAGGAAAAGAAGTTATAAATGACAGAAACAAAATATAGAGAAGCAGGGCCTATTTAGAGATAATGGGTGAAAATCTAATGGAAAAAGGGATTCTGCAAAGGTACATAAGATAGTATGGTTATATTAGAAGCAGAAATAATTTCAGAAAATATGAAACAATGTATGATTAAAATGTTTGATAAAATAATTATCGTAACTTAGTGGAATGTTTGTCAATAAATAAATGTAACAAAATGAATATTTAATGATTTACAAAACATATATGAAGAGAAATAAGGGAAAAATTAATTATGGAGATTATATGTGTCTTTAAGGAAGTATGATATTTAATTGAAAAGAAATGTTAAAGATATTAAGACTTTAATGATTATTGATAGAACTGAATTGGAATGGAATGAGGGTTTATAATTACATATATTTATAATTCTTTTTTTAAAAAAGAATATAGTGTGTATTATAAGAATGTACCAAGCAGAATTCGATTGGAAGTTATGTATTATGTATTATATTGAAGGCCATAACCTTAAAGTATATATTGAAGTTTAAATAAGAGTTGAATGGATATAATTAAAAGATGTAAAGGTGTCATACTCCAATTAGTAACTACAGGAGAAAATTTGTTTAATGAGAAAAGATAATATGAAATTGAAACAGAACAGACAAAAGTATAAATATAATGATTTGAATTGAGATGAGATAATCAAAATAAAATCGAGAAAATTAAAAGAGGGGAAAAACTATATAGAAAACGTAGAATAGTATAAAATATGGAACAGAAGACAAAAAAGAGCATGAAACTGAGTTTTGTGTCTGTATAAAGAAGTTCAACCCGGGACCATGCTATTTTCAAAAAAGATGTTTTATTTGTATTTTGTGTGTGTGAAAACCCAAATAAAACTTTATATATATAAAAAAAAGAATGTGGCAGCGTGGAAGCTTCTGGTGCTAATATGGCTTCCAAAGCTGACAATTAACTTACAAGGATGACGTGAAAATGGACCCTCCCCCGCTTCTCCCACCAGGCCTAGTGATGGGACAATTTCATTCACGGTAGTCCTCGACTTACAACAGTTCATTCTGTGACCGTTGGAAGTTACAAGGGCACTGAAAAAAGGGACGTGACCATCTTTCACACTTACGATCGTTGCCGCATTCCCCAGGGTCACGGGATCAAAATTCAGACCGACTCATATTTATGATGGTGGCCCTGTCGTGCAATCCACTTTTGCGACCTTCGGACAAGCAAAGTCGATGGGGAAGGTGGATTCGCTTCATGACTGTGTGACTGACTTAACGACGGCAGCGGCGGCGGCAAGGAAGGTCGTAAAATGGGGTTAAAATTCACATAACTGTCTGCCCTTAGCGACAGAAATTTGGGGCTCAGTTTCGGTCGTTAAGTCGAGGACTATCCGTATTATCATCCAGAACAAGATCTTGAATCCTAACAAGGACTCTCCCCTGACTTTCTTATGAATCTGCTGTTGGTCACTGTTGTGGTACACCGTCGGCCTGCAGAGCTGGCAGCAGAGTTGGATAGTGGGGAGGAACATGGGCCAGTCCTGGAGTCTGGGGAGGACTCGGACGAGGGTCCTCCGTCCGATACAGAGATGGAGCCAGGGCCATCTGAGTTATGTGCTGACTCCAGAGCCTCCAGAATCTGACATCAACAAGGGAGAGAGGAATAAGGGGAGCCTGTTCCCAGTGCAACAGTTAAGACAAAAGGGGCGACTTGGGAGTAAGGCTTGGAGATGATTGGCCTTCCCGTAAGACTTAAAGGAGGAGCAAAGGGACAGGAGACCTTGCAGGAAGCAACTTTGTTCATTCTGGTTGGTTTAAAATCTGAAGCTCCGTGTTGACTTTGTACTCCTTTTGGCCTCGTACAGCTAATTGGCAATTTAGTCCTTGGCAGCATTTCAAGGGAGATAAAGGTGGGTGCTTATCAGCCTTATCCCAAAAGACTGTGGCAGACTTCCATTGGACTATTCACAAACTGTTTGGGACTCATTGCGGGCTGTGAATGAGTAGAATTCACAGCCATTGAGATTTTTAAAAATGGTTTTTGGGAAACAGCGTGTGATTTTTACTGTCTCAGAAAGTCTTGGTCTTCCTTACCTGTTTGAGAAGTGGGTGAATTCGATGAGATGGTGGATCGGTCGTCGCTCTGTGGATTGAAGAGAAAGAGACAAAGAGAGAAGAGTGACACTCTCAGCCATTCACTCCAATGAAGAACGGGAGCACACCGAGAATTATCATTTTGGCCGCCGATTCTCTGAAGAGAATAAGGATATTCTGCCAACTCTTTCAGTGGTTTAATAATGGGGAGCAACATCCCATTCTCTTTTGAGATCGGATGTCGAGGAACAAAAAAAGCCACAACAGAAAAGAGCATCTGCTAAGCCAGCCACAGAAAAGCGGGTCCTAATTACCGCAAGGAAAAATAGAAATAAAGCAGCAGTGTTGACCATATACAAAACCTTCAGCAAAGACCAAAGCAAACACGTTGAGACAGTCTGGGTTGCAAAATTAATTCCACAATTTCTCTTGGAGGCCTACAAAACCATTATTAGATGCCAGCCGACCTTCCTCCCCAGCTCCACGGACAGCAGGATGCAATTTTTAAAAATAGTTCAGAGTTAAATAGCAAAACGTGCGTACCTTCCTCAACCTGATCATCTCCATGTGGGCAGGACTGCAGCTTCCATTACTCCCAGTCAAGGATGACTTGGCTGGGGCTGATGAGAGCTGCAATCCAAAGTGGAGAAGGATGCTAGAAGGTCTATGAATACATATTTTCTCTTACCAAAGAATATCTATCTCTAATTCTAAATTTGGGCCCAGTT